CACAGTCTCATCCAATCGTCAACTTTCCGTTTTAGGTATGCTCGGGTATGCTCTGCGAAACCTCAAGGTGACGATTTGACAATATGAAAAACTGCGGACTTTTTACGTCTCTGTCTCTTGCTTGATTGATTATTAATTTCTTAACTCAATTTGTGGATCTGTGGTTTATTGATGGATTTCGATGGATGGATTTCGACATAGATATCTGCCCCTGGGCCTGGTTTCCCCTCCTTTGCCCTTGCGTGCTCTTGCAGAGTCTTGCTTTTCTCTTTGATCGACACAGATACGCTTTTGACTTTCTTTCCCCCCCCCCCCTCCAATCTTGTCTCCTTGTGAACTCAGCTGTCTCCGTCCAATTTGATTGATTGACTGATTGACACCAAACTCTTTTTCTTGTCTGACTGATTGAACCATCCCCTTGTGAGCTTTTTTTGGGCCCTTCTCCTGTTACTCCTCCCTCCTCTTTCCTCTGCCTTCTTCGATCCTTGACCCACCTCAGACGTGTAAAACCATTTGATTGAACTTCTTGCTTTCGCCATTTTCAGAAGCAAGGAAGCAAGCAATTAAACTTTCAACGAACAAACAAACCAATAAGGCAACTAACGCGTCAGTCAGTATATTGATCAGTCCATTACACAAGTAATCATAGATCAATAAGAAAATCAGTCAGTAAATGAATCAATCTATTGATCAATCAATCAATCAATCCACAGATTAGCCATTCCAGCCGTCCATCCCTCCATCCTTCCGTCTATCAATCCATCCATCCGTCTATCAATCAATCAGTCAATCAATCAATCAATTAATCAATCAATCAATCAATCGATTAATCAATCAAGCTATCAATCAATCTATTGATCAATCCATGAATCAATCGACAGATCAACCATTCGATCCATCCCTCCCTCCAATCCTCCAATCCTCCAATCCTCCATCCCTCCATCCCTCCATCCCTCCATCCCTCCATCCATACGTCTATCAATCCGTCCATCCGTCTATCAAGCAATCAATCGATCAATCAATCAATCAATCAATCAATCAATCAATCAATCAAGTAATCGATCGACTAATCAATCAGTCGATCAATCCATCACATCAGTAAATCAATTGTAATCAATCAATCGATCAATCAACCCCCAATCAGTAGTTCACTTAATCGATGAAAGCAGTCTATCAGTTATTCAATCCATCAGTCAAATCTGCTAGTCACTCTTCCAGTCAATCAATGAATAATTTTATTAATCAAACCGATATTACTACCATATTATCTATCAATGAATCAATGAGTCAATCAGCCATTCAGTCAATCAACCTATAGCTTCGCGAATCAGTCAGTCGATTTTATGGTTGATTGACTATCAAGCAATCAATGAGTCAATCAACCTAGATTCATTGACCGGTTGTTGATTGATCGTTCAGTTAGCTAATCAGGCAATTAATCAATTAATCTATAAATCAATTGCTCAACCAATCAATCCACCCTATTATCAATCAAGGAATTAACGGGTCAATCAGCCTATCAGTTCACGAGTCATTCAATGGGACGATATTGATTGAGCGGTTGTTGATTGATCGACCAAGCAATGCCCCCGCGTCTTGAACCCCCCCTATGCTTGAACGGCCCTATAAATTAATTGATTAATTGTCCCCGATCTACTCTCTGATCGGTAGTGAGGTGGACTTTCGTTGCCTTCCCCATGCGGTGAGAAGAGGCGATTGTTTTTTACGGACGAATTGCACAGCACAGATGGATCGCCGTGGCCTGCTCACGCTGTGGCTTCCCGCCCAAACCCTTAACCTCCATACAGCCACCACGGGTGACCCCGCCACCCCCAGAACAAATTGCACCTTAGTTGCCAATGTGATCATCTTTGATTATGTATTGCTTCAGAACTGTCATGACGAGAAGAATCCTGCGCAGGGCATATTGATGAATACGTATTCGTTGCAGGTAATTTTGAAGCAATGAATGCTGGAACAGAAGCGGACGTGGGAATACTCTCTCAGAGTCTCTCTCTCTCTCTTCCCCCCTCTCTCTCTCTCCCTCTTCCCCTCTCTCTTTCTCTCTCTCTCTCTCTCTCTCTCTCTCTCTCTCTCTCTCTCTCTCTCTCTCTCTCTCT